GACCGCTGATGCCAGCGATTTTCGCCCGAGGTGGTTTGTTAAATATAGAAAATGACACCTTCTCTATATCTGTACATGCTGTTTATGTATTATGAAAGTAAACGAAAGGTACTAAAATGGACGCAAATAAATTGTTTGCGTTGTTATTATTGTTGGAAGAACAAGAGGAACTGGGTAATTGCAACCGTCAAAGTTTCCAATAAGCCAGTGGATAAGTTGTTTTTGTGTCGCGATACAGAGAAGGTGCCTTTAATACCACTGTTCATCGGAGGCTTTTTGGAAATGAAACCAAAAGGGAGTATTTTAGACTTTCTACAGATCTTTTTGAATTCGTGTTTAGTTTTATAAAGAACGGCATTTCCAAGAAACCTACAAATAAAGTCAAAGTCATCTGTATATGTGAATTTGTCACTCATTGTTTTAAAAATATTAACAATATAATTATTTGTATTCACAAACTGTCTCCGCACACGCCAACGATTCCGCTAATATCAAACTCGACAGATATGAACCGACTAGTCGCGACCAGGGGTGGGAAACTGGTATGCGCAGGCCTGGGATCAATGAACCACGTCCGCGTGGCGCTGCAGTCGGGTGGTGGGGTAGGTGGTGGGAGTGTAAATGACAGGTGAATATTGATTTTTGTGGGGGTGTCATGGCGTCTTGGCTTAAACCAAACGTGAACTTTGTTTATTTATATTGGTGACTGTTGTATTCAGTTGTTTTCATTTCATTTGTGGTTTTTCCGCTGTTATTTTGTGGTTTTTCATAAAGATGCGTAATTATAGAAAATGTTGTGTACCGAATTGCCTTGTTGTGGACAACAAGATGCATCGCCTGCCTCAGCATCTTGTTTTGGACAACAAGATGCATCGCCTGCCTCAGCCTACGAATTCACCCGATTTATTTGATATTTGTGCACTTGCTGTTCGTTGTCCAAGATTTAATAATAAAACAAGACTACAAATTTATTCCACCTTTGTAGTATGTCATAAACATTTTGAAGAGAAGTATAAAGTAGTTGGCTCTCGTCGATATCTAACACCTAAAGCATTTCCAACCCTATTTCTACCAGCAGTTCCTGGAAGAGTAGCGGATGGACTTTCCTCAAATAACGTAGAAATTGAATATATTGATCAAACACCTACTTCAAGTAAAGGTTCGAAGAAGAAGCAGACTAATAATATATGTTGGACTTCTTTTCGAGAAGGAAAGTTAGTAATCTACTCATTTATTTTATACTTATACTGTGTATTTTCTGTTTCATGACATTTGGGGTTGCAAAGCTGTATCGTAGAAGAAGAAGCAGACTAATAATATATGTTGGACTTCTTTTCGAGAAGGAAAGTTAGTACTCTACTTATTTATTTTATACTTATTGCTGTGTTTGAGAATCCACATCAGATGCATTTTTTACATCTCGAGCGTTCTTTTATCCACATACCTATATATAAAACGTTTATTTAGTCAAAAAAACTATTGTTTACATGTCAATACATCTTCACGTTTAAAATATAAAAAATACATAAATATAGAATCAACATACATTTAAAATGCAATAAAAAAATACATAAGATACAGTACACTTAAATGTCAACTATACAAAACAATAAAAGAACAAGAAAGAGAAAAAAAAACGTCAATAGGTGAACAGGTATTCACACAGTTTTATTTTAAATATTGCCACATTTGAAGAACATTTAATATCCTCAGGCAAATTATTAAAAGCCTGTACACCTTTAAAAAACACTGAATTTTGTGTACATTTTTCTTATTACCTGTTTAGGTTCATGAACATCCTGATTATAACTTAAAATATTTTGTAAATATACTCGGGAGATTCCTGATTTAATTTTAAATATAAAAAGCAGGGAATAGAATAGCAAATATTTTTTAACAGGCAACCACTGAAGCACATTCAACATTGAATTGATTGGTTCCAATCTCGAACAGCTCAGTATTATCCTCAGACCTCTGCAACTTTTGCAATCATTTCAACTCATTCTGGTTGAGCAAATACAGTATAGTGGCACAATAATTAAAATAAGGTAATATTAAGAGTATTATAAATTATTATTTTAGCCCATTTGCCGAGATGTGGAGAACAGCGCCTCAAATAGTTTATTTTAAATCGGACACATCTGTCCCATTACATTTACGTAAACTGAATCACATGATCAAAGTTTTACTACATCTCAGTTGCATCCGATGTGGATTCTCAAACGCGGCATATACTGTGAAATTTCTGTTTCATGACGTTTGGGGTTGCAAAGCTGTATCGTAGATGTTGGACTTATTAAAAATAAAGTATTCCTCGGACTTATAATTTTTTATTAATACATTTATTTTAATGAGGTTGTACTTATACTGTCTTTCTTTTTTCACAGCTAAAGTTCTTCACAAAATGATGGACAGTGTTGTATCCTGGAATATGTAGCAGCCATCCAGCTACTTCATACATAATACAATTTTCATATACATTACATTTTTTAAATATTGGATTTGTATTATATATATTCTTTAATAAATTTATTTTTTGAATATTCTTGTTTTTTTTATCTAAAAACTGTTAGCCAAATTAAGATTTGTTCACACAAACTGCATTTTTGCTTTATTATAGCGATATTCGCTATAATAAAGCAAAAATGCAATTTGTGTGAACAAATCTTAATTTGGCTAACAGTTTTTAATGCGGATAATTTTTACTGTCAAATTTGAATAGCCCCGCGCTTTTCTTCTCTTCTTCTTTTTATTATTTTCTCTTCTTTCATATGGCCTCTTACCAGACAAGGACTTAATTGAAAAAAAATCAACCACGTCCACCAGGTGCCGCTAAAAACTCTATCATCCTTTTTTAACATGGGAGATACCGTTCTAAGAGTAAGTGTTCTGTGGTCGCGACAAATCAGCGGCATGACGCAGTCCTGCTCAGCTAAGCGGATTCAAGAAAACCATTCCTATTTAAATACTCTGGTTGGATAAAATCGTCAAAACGCGACGGTCGACGAACTGTCCATCACCGCGACGGAGTGTTTAAAGAAACCAAGGCTTTACAGCAAATGGATTTTCTGTCGACCATATGTACGAGTTTCGTAAATTGAACACGCCGTCTCTTGTAAACTGGGCCTCATCCGTAAATATGCATCTATGTACAATTCGCCGATTTAAGAGGATCCACCTACTAAAATTAATTCTAGGAATTTCATCGCCTGCTTCTAACCTCTGTACTTCCTGAATATGATATGGGTGTAAACCATGATACTATTATCATGGGTGTAAACGATGTTTTTTTAGTCGTCGCCATACGCTGGTATGAGGTACGTTAAATGCATAACTAATTCTCCTTGTGCTCAGTTCTGGATTATTATTAACCATATTTATAATATTTTGTTCCACATTCAAATGCTGCCTTTCACGATGCTCGTTTAATTGAGCTGTTGGGAATCTACCATATCTTCTCATTTAATTAAAAACGGGAATAAAAGTTATGAAATTTGGTGATTTTCTACCAGGAAATCTCAATTCATATTATCTTTTTGCAGCTCGAGAATTACCATCACAGAAACCATAAATGTAAATCATATCTGCGTATTCTTCGTTAGTATATTGGTATGGCATTTTTAATCATTACCAAATACAATAAAAAATATTACGGAAAATACTGAAAAAACAATAATGACTGACAGAAGATGCAAATACAAATGACATAAAAATGTGAAATGCCAATTCCAAGGCCTATAAGATAATCTAATAATAAAATAATTATACTTATTTATTATTTACGAATGTAACGTTAGGTCCTAAATACCTCCTTTCGTATACTACATACACTGGCCTTCAAGATCGCCTGACTTTAATCCGCTGGATTACCACGTTTGGGGACATCTAAAAACAAAAGTATATTCCACTCCCATAAATAGTAGGGAAGAACTAGTTGGGAGGATAGAAAACGCGTGCGAAGAAATGAAAAATAATCCCGATGTACTCAGAAAAGCCGTCAACCATATTTTAAAACAAGCAAGAAAATGCATCGAACAAAATGGAGGTCATTTTGAACAACTCTTGTAGTTTTTAGTAGCAATAAGGTTTATTACTTCATTTCCAACATTTGTATTTCTTTGTATTATTAGTTTTTATTTTGATTTGTTTATTATGTATTAATTAGTTATTATTTATGTGTTTTTCTTTTAGTTGTAAATGTTATTATTTCTTCTACTGAATGTTAGTCTCTTTCCATATTATTATCCTACATACTATTTATTAAAACTTACATGGAATAATTTATACAGGGTGCGGTCGAAAAAAAAAATTCTTATTTTTGGCCCTAAAACCGGACCTGAAATTATTTTTTGAAATGGTGTAGATGCATACAATTATAAGTATTGACATATCTGTAGCTTTTAGAAATATACTTCTTTAAATAATTTTCAATATACCGTAATAAAATTAATAAAACTCCGTCCGTTTCCAGTTTGTACCTCCAAAATGCTCAAAAATAACAATTTGGACTTATTATTTCAGTAGTAAAATCGTCTGCGCAAAAATAAAATGTACATTATTGGATTCAGTTTTTTGTGCTCTTTTCAAATATGAAAACAAAAATTTTAAATTCAGACATACAGGATGTTGTTTTAAGGATGGACGAATTTATTAATTTTTTGTAAAGACGGACCTGGATTTCGTTTCTTGTTTATACCTTTTTAGATTTGGTAAGTTACGGTGAATAAGTACGCCAAATGTCAAAAACATATACAGGGTGGTTAATAAGTTATGAGTCTGGAAATAAATAGGCCAAATTGATAAAACACCCTGTATCTGGGCTATAAAGGTCGAAAAACCCATTAAGTATGGGTTATTTGGAAGCACCTCGGTGGTCTCCATCCATGGTTAAAGGGAGTCCCTTTACCAATGAAACACAAATTTTGTAGTTGAAAACAGTACTTTTTATTCACTTCTTCCGAAAACTCCATGTTTAAAGCACTTCAAAATAAAACAAGGCGTAAAACAGTAGATATTAGTTTATTAGTAAAAAACATTCAATCATTTAAAAAATAAAATCTATTTATAACTTCAAAAAAACTTGTTTCTCTTCTTGCAGCCGATGAACTATTTTAAAATCGGACAGTGGCGTGCCATCAGCTAGAGTCCTAATTTCTGTTCGAGAATATGTATCACCTGCTAATAATAAAAAACAACATAATATATTGATTAAATAAATGGTACATAATAATGTATAGGTTTTATTACATGAATAAGATTACACAAGCCGAAACTGACTGTAATATAGCTATCAAACATACGACTCAAATGTTATGTATACTTCATCTATAACTATTCACCTAATTTTAAACCGATGAACTGTTAGATTCCATTAATAGTATATTCTGTTGCAATTGACTGTACTTTCTCCACGGTCACAGACATAGTAGGTTGAATATAGTAAAATAAAACTTTGAACAAAATGAAGTATTTATGTTAGACAAGTTTTTATTTAAATTATTTACATAATTTGTCGGTTCAAATTCCATATAAAAATCATTGTATTCACAAATTTTGAATTTAAGTTCTTAACAGACGACGCTTATTTTTATTCTGGCAAATTCAAACCAAATACTAATACGTCGCGTATAACTGTCAGTCATGAAATTCATTACTATCTACGTATCGGGTGTGGTTTTCACGGCCAGTAGTTACTACATAATGAACATTTTGTCTCTCGAGTTAGAATGAAATACGTGTGAAATACTAAAATACATAAGAGGCACATATTGAATTTACTTTCAATCTCGAGAGCGAGAATATTTTTTTCTGTTATTATAAGTGGTTACATTCAGTAGTGGCCGAAAAGAAAATTATTTACAAATTACAAAAAAAAAAAAGACGCAATACAGAAGAACTAGGGTGAATGGGGATGATGCTGCTGGCTACATCCTCATCACGAGTGCCAGTTCTTAAACTGGCCACAGCTCGGTTTTGGTTTAACTCTAGCTGCGTCAATAAAATAAAACTGCGAACTTTTGTATTCGTATATTACCATGAACAGGAACAGGAACACATTAACAACTATTCTTTCTATTATTTAATACAAGGTTTTTAATATAAAATATTGAGATTAAAAGAATGACTTTTTTTCGTTGACTTCTGCCCAAACAACAACTTGCCTAGCGACCGTATTCTTACGTCCCAAAATAATTGTGACGCGCGAATGTTGCGAAACGGGATACCCGGGTTGCTCATTAGAAATGTGTCGTCATATATTTATTGTCAAAATTCCTACATACTCCCCCCCGTTAAACGCCTTGCGTTTAAAATATAATAAAATATGAAAAGTAATAAGTGAAACAATAAGGTTAAATCTAGTTTAAAGATCGAAAAACGCTATGGAGTTACTGCCCACAAATATTTTAATTATCATGTGGTAAGGGACAAAGCTTTGTGATAGGACGTATAAACAGTCCTTCACGAGTGCGTATTTTTACAACTCTGACTTTATTGTCAGGTCCGGGGAAAATTTCCACTACTCTGGCTCTTGGCCAGTTAAGAGGGGGGACATTGTCTTCCTTTAGAAGGACTAAGTCATTAATCTTAATATTTCGAGACGAGTGTAACCATTTGGGTCTATTTTGTAGATTGTTTAAGTATTCAATTGACCATCGTTTCCAAAATGATTGTTGAATACGGGCACATTTTTGAAATAAGTTTAATCTATTTTCTGGTACAACTGATAAGTTCTCTTCAGGATATGCTGTAAGACTAGTGCCGATAAGGAAATGTCCTGGAGTTAGACATTCTAAATCAGTAGGATCATTGGACATGGTGCATAAAGGACGAGAGTTTAAAATCGACTCAATTTGAGCAAGTACTGTACTGAGTTCCTCAAAGGTGAGATGTGCGCTACCAATGTTTCTTTTTAAAATGTTTTTGGTGCTTTTAATCGCAGCTTCCCAAATTCCTCCCCAGTGGGGACTAAGAGGAGGAATAAATTTCCAATTAATCTGATTTTCTGCCGCGAATGTTTTAATAGAGTCTGTAACATCGGAATTTTTAAAATATTCGTACAATCGTCGGAGTTCATTTCTAGAACCACAGAAATTGGTAGCATTATCGCTGTATATCACAGATGGATTTCCTCTGCGGGAGATGAATCGTTTAAGGGTCATTAAAAATGCTTCAGTAGAAAGAGTTGAAACAAGTTCTAAGTGTATAGCCTTAGTGACCATGCACACAAAGAGGGCAATATAACATTTTTGGATTGGAGCTTTTCTTAATTTAGAGGTTTTGATAAGAAGGGGACCTCCGAAATCTATTCCCACCTTTTGAAAGGGTCTAGTGATAGTGATTCTGTCTTTGGGAAGATCTCCCATAATTTGTTGAACGGGTTTAAGATGAAATCGGAAACAATTGTTACAATTTCTAATAATGCGTTTTATTTCCCGTAAAGCATTTAGGGGCCAATATTGCAATCTAATATTTGAAAGTACAGTTTGAGCACCAGCGTGAGCAAGTCGATTGTGTTCATGGGCCAAGAGTAAAGATACTACATGATTTTTAGAGGGAAGTAGAATGGGGTATTTTTGATCTTCAGAAATATCAGCGTTAGTTAGGCGACCACCAACACATAAAAAATCATCTTTATTTAGAAATGGTTTGAGGGACATGAGGTTTCTGTTTGACAAACATTTTTCATTCTTAAGTTCGAATATCTCCTTTGAAAAATGTATAAGTTGCAAATTTTTTATGATTAGATTGATTGCTGATTTAATTTCGTCAACACATAAAGGGCCTAATTTCTTGGTTTTTGAATGTTTACAATTGTACAAAAATCTATTGCAATATGCAACTGAGTGAATTAATTTCGAAAATTTCGAAAATTTTGAAAATAAATCGTCCCAAAAAGAAGTTATGGAGTTCGGAATGGTTTTTAAAAGAGTAAGAGTTACCTTTTTTTGTTCAGGTAAATCGATTAGATCCAATTTTTCATCAACATTTATGGAATTGAAAGAAGGGTCCTGCAACCATTTAGGACCGTGCCACCACAGTTGAGAATTTAAAATATCTTTTGCTAATAATCCTCTACTTAAAGGGTCTGCAGCATTATCTGCTGAGCTAACGTGATGCCACTGCCAATTTGCGGACAATTCTTGTATCTGAGATACTCGATTAGCTACAAAAACTGACCAACGAGATGGGTGCGACTTAAGCCAACATAGACCTATCTGTGTGTCTGTCCATAAATGTATAGATTCAAAACATAGTTTGAAAAAAATAGAAACAATTTTCTTAGTCAATTTCGTAAGTAAAAGCATAGCTTGGAGTTCGAGTCTCGGAATAGTGAAAGTAGGTCGCATGGGACAAATACGAGACTTAGATGATACTAGGTTACAAGTGACTGTATTATCGGAATAAAGGGTACGAAAATAAATGCAGGCAGCATAAGCTTTTATGCTACTGTCAGCGAAACCATGTATTTCAATTTTCAAAATCTCTTTTTTAACGAAGAGATGACGAGGAATAGTCAATTGTTTAAGAGTAGGAATATTTGATATAAAGGTTTTCCATTCATCAACGAGTGTTTGTGACAGTGGTTCATCCCAACTAAGTTTTTCTTTCCATAAGTTTTGCATGAAAATTTTACCTAAAAGAATTACAGGACCTATGAGACCTAGAGGGTCAAACATCTGGGCTATAATAGAAAGAGATTTTCTTTTTGTGATAGGTTCACAATTTAAAGAATCTGGAAGTGAGATTGAAAATATGTCCTTAGCAGGTTGCCATGAAAACCCTAAAACCTTATTAGAGATATTTTCCATTTTCATATCTCGTATAAGAGGTTGAGAAGTTTCAGAAATATATTCCAAGAATTCTGGGGAGTTTGAACACCATTTATGGAGGTGGAAACCAGAGCTATTTAAGAGTTCATTTAATTCGTGATATGATTTTTCTAAATCTTTCAACGTGTCTTTTCCATAAAGAATGTCGTCCACGTATGTCTGAGTTAAAATGGCATCAGAAGCGTGTGTAAAATTTTTTCCACGGGTATAGGCTATTTCATTAAGCGTACAAGTGCTTAGAAATGGGGCTGATTTTGTGCCATATGTGACAGTAGTAAGTTCTATACATTTTAGGGGTTCATTTGGATTATTCCTCCAAAGAATATTCTGTAAAAAGGTTTGATCAGGATTGATCTTAATTTGCCTGTACATTTTTTCAATATCTGAAGTAAATACATAGGCAAATTGTCTAAAACGACAGAGAATATCGAATAAGTCCGGTTGGACTTGAAATCCTTTTAAAGTGATGTCGTTGAGTGAGTATCCAGTTGAACTCTTACAACTGGCGTCAAAAACAACCCGTAATCGGGTCGTAGTACTAGCTTCTCTGATAACGCAATGATGTGGGAGAAAATATTTGTTAAGGAGACGATCATTTTGTAAAGACAGGGGTATATATTGTGCATGATTGAGAGAAACGTACTCCTGAATAAATTTTTGATATTCAGAAAAGAGGGAGTGGTTATTTTTAAATCTATTTTCAAGATACAAAAAGCGTTTTTTAGCTATTTGAAAAGAGTCGCCCAATTTGGTGGGTTCGTCAGAAGAGACTAATGGTAGGTTCACCTGATAGGAGCCATTTTCTAAAACTTTAATGTTGTTTTTGAAGTCTTGCTCTGCAAGTTCTTCATCGGGGGTCAACATTTTTTGGGTAGGAATTTCCTCAATTTCCCAAAATTTCATGAGAAGGGATTCAAGGTGTGAGTCTTTTGAAACTACCTCAGAACTTTGAGCAAAACATGATACACTTTGTCTAGAACGAGAGTTATGGGGAATATTTCCTGCGATTATCCATCCTAACATAGTGTTTACTAAAACTGGACAATTTCTGCCTAATTTTATGAGTCCATCCGTGAGTAGATTATAATATAAATCTGAGCCAATTAATATATCTATTTGGGAAGGTTTAAAAAACTCAGTGTCGGCTAGTGTAATGTGTTCAGGGATAATAAATGAGTTTGTATCGACAAGAGTTTGGGGTAACTTGCAAGTAACATTTGGTAATACCGCACAAGATAAATCGAAAGAAACATTTTCCATTGCATTCGAGAAAATTCTAAATTCTGCCATTTTATTGGAGATAAGTGAGTTTTGAGTAATTCCAGAAATGTGCAATTTTTTATTATA